GTTAGATGGCCCCTTGTTTATCTTCCAGCATGTGGGACCCCAGATTCTGTGTAATTTGACAGCTTGACACTAGATTTTTTAGATTAAGAATTTTAAAAACTATTTTCTTTAAGAATGTAAAAGGAAAGATCGAAGCGAGCAGGGCCTTTCAAAAACTAAGTGGCGAACATATTATAGAAAGAGCTAAATAGAACTTCTAGAAATGTAAACTATAATAAATGAAAATGTTTAATTATGCAACTGCTTTAATGCTTTCATTACACTTGAGAGAATTCATGAACTGAAAGATAACAGTGTAGAAATTAATGGGAATTCATCACAGATGGACAGAGAATTGTAAAATGACTGGTAGAGTAAGAAATATTAAGGATGAAAATATACAATCCAGCAAATGTTCATCAGGATATCAGAAGCGAGAAAATGGGGCCAAATAAATATCTGAAGAAATAATAAATGAAACATGTCCAGAAGTAGTGAATATGACAAACCATCAAGTGAACACTGAAGAATGAATGAAAACAAACCCACGCTAACATACAAAGGAGGAGGCGGTGGCATGGTGGGTGATGACTTCGTCTATTAACTCCAAGGTCAGCAGTTCAAACTCACCAGTCAATCCCGGAGAGAAAGATGAGGTTGTCTGCTTCTATAAAAACTTAGTCTCAGAAGTCCAAAAGGGCAGTCCTAGAGGGTTTATTGGGTTTCTGTCGGTCAGAATTTATTCTGTAGCAGTGAATTTTTGGTTTTAACATTTAGAAGAACTCAACTCACTGCCTTTGAGTTATTTCCATAGTGCTCCTATGGGACAAAGTACAACTGCCCCCGTGGGTGTCCAAGACTGTCCGTCTTCATGGGAGTAAAAGCCTCATTTTCTCCAGAGCAGTTAGGGGTTTCAAGCTCAGCAGCCCAATGCTAACCCACCAGGATTCACAGAGCGCACACAAAAGGATAACAGATGGGCTAACTTAAAAGGAGTAATAATTGGACTTCAAGATGATTTCTTAATAATAGCAATACTATGAGTCAAAAGGCAGTGGAATGGTATCTTCAAAATGTTAAGAGATGACACTTAACCAAAATCCTCTTTGCTAAGCAAAACTGTCTTTCAAGAACAAGGACAAGATAAGGATATGCTCCAAAGTGGTGGGGTGGGGGAGTGGGGGCAGAGTTTATCAGATCTTCGCTATAGGATTGAAAAAGTCGACTCCGTGCAAAACTGAGCTCTCCTAGTATTAGTCTTCACTAATACTAGAATACTAGTAGAAAATGTGGGACATCCACCTCCCGGCCCAAACCCTTCTTCAACTTCAATTATAGATAAGTACAAAGTCTCTGCCTAGGAGGCCTCACAGGGGAAAGCTTTCCTATCTGAGTTAGATGTGAAGGAAGTTACAGTCAAGCACTCTGATCCCACCCTGACACACACACACTCTGATACGCAACTCAATTCTCACTGCCACTAAGTCCATTCCAACGTATAGCTACCCAGTAAGGCAGAGTAGAACTGCCTCAATGGGTTTCTGAGACTGTAAATCTTTACAGGAGCGAAAACCTCATCTTTCTCTCAGGGAGCAGCTGATGGGTTTGAACTGCTAACCTTGCATTTAGCAACCCACGTCATAATCCTCTATGCCACCATGCCTCCTAGTGATAAACAAACATGGACCGATAGAACAATAATAAAGTGGTATTTGATATGAAAGCTAGAAAATATAAGACGAGAATAGAATGTAAATAAGTAAGAAAATTACTGGAGAAGATGCTCTGGTGGCACTATGGGTTAGCTGTTGAGCTGCTAACTAGAAGGTTGGCAGTTCAAACCTACCAGCAGCTCTATGGAAGAAAGCTGGGGTGGTTTACTTCTGTAAAAATCTACAGCCTTGAAAACCCAATGAGTCAGTGAGCCTTGGAAACCCAGAGTCAAATCTACCCTTTCCAACCAGATTATTATGAATCAGGATCAACTCAATGCCAATAGGTTTGGTTTAGTTTGAAAGTCTTTGTATTGCCCAAGAAGTGAATACAGTTATTATCTAATTTTAAATAAAATTTTAAAACCCTCACTGCCATCAAATCAATTCTGACTCATAGCGACCCTATAGGACAGGGTGGGACTGACCCTGTGAGGTTCTGAAGCGGTAGGTCTTCTTTATCATTTTTATTATTATTGGGAGTTAATACACATACCATTCCATAGTTCAATCGCATCGGGTAATAT